TGAGCTTGGTTAAGCCAAATCTATATTTTGAACCACCCTAATACCACATACAAACAGATGTAACTATTTAAATAAATAATCCTTAAAATTATCGCCACGGATCTCACTAACGACATCTCGCGAGCTATTTGCGGAAAAAAGCTTGCTTGCCAAGTCTCAAAGAATGTTGCATACAACTTCGATAAAATGTATAGAAACATCGAAGTAATTCTAGCCACACAGTAATTGGATATGATACATTTTTTTTTCCATATAATATTCATTTTTGTTTGGCAGGCACTTTCATCGCCATTCCCGGCCATTCACTTCGATCAGCCAACGGCCATGCTCAAATACAGTATGATCGAACGTGTTATCGGTATCTATTCATTTACACCACACTCCGTGAACACAAGCGTTGCTCATCGCAGCAACCGAACAATAGATCAGCGCGGTTACGGTCATACCGGGTAGCAAAGGGAAATGCGAGAGCACACCAAGAACCATTGCATCAGCAACTCGAGAACAAAACATTTGCTAAAACTTATTCAATCAAATTAAATTATCGCACACGGGACATAAATCCCGCCGCAAATTGCAATCAACGGTCCACAATAACACAGCCGGAAAACTCAGATCGCTCAAGAATCAAGTTTCAACTGCAAAATACAATATTTAATATAACCTATTTCTCTTGGTTGACCACCTTGCTAGCGCAGTGCTGTGGTTTATCGTTATCGCGACGTAGGTTGGATTCAATATCGAATCGAATTAGCAAAACGTTTTTTCAGTAACAGTTCATTACAATTGATAAATTAACCATAGATACATTATACAAAACATGCAATATGACAAACATGATACCGATCCAGGCTGCTCCTGGCATAGCAAATTATATAACCTGCATGTGGAAAAAATGCCTTCACATGGGTTGCCCGAAGTGGAACAGATATTAGGGGCAGCCTTGGGAACTGCCAGAATCGATTGATTTCCCAACAAACAATTCAGAGTCACAAATAAGCATGGCAAGGAAATGTATATTAGTATCTAATCAAACGATACTTGACATGGGGTACAAGCATATACAGCATCGCTATTTAAGGAAGAAATTTCCAAGTAACAATTCAAGCTGAACAGTAAGAACAGAAGCGGATTATTGGTTGATTTAAGGTATTCACAGCTGCTCATAACCTGGCTGAATTTTTAGTTGATTAGTAGTGCATGAACTAAAGACTGAAAAAGACTTATTTAAGCTTACTATTATTCAACAACAATGCGCTTCACATATTTTGATGGCCTGATAGAAGTATATCAATCTATTGTACTATATTGTTAATTTTCTTCAGTGTCACGCGTTGCACTTCCGGTATTTTATTTTATCTTAATTCACTGCCTAACTTCCTAATCCCAAGCAGCACCAGCAGTAGATAGAAGGAAGAGGAGTTTTTAAGGAATATATTCAGGTAGAAGTGGACTGTGACGACGTATTCCTGTGTTTTGCACTGAATTTTCAGACCACATTCCAAAAGTTTAATCCAATTATGGCACTATAATAGCATCAAAATAACCATAAAAAAAAAATCACACACTTGTTTGCTGCACTTGAAATTGAGAGGAATGTTTCACTGTCACCATTTGTTGTTTACAATTTTGTTTGCTGTATAATACTATTCCGGTTGCTATTATTCAACTTAAATTTGAGGTGTTTCAAGTCAATGACCGTACCTTTTGCCACACATATGGTTAAATGGTCCAATAGGTATGGTTGAGGCCTGTAAACCAGTGACTGCCGGTTCGAATCCCAAAATGCATAGGTAATATTAATACTTACAATAACAATATAAATATTTGATCCCAATTTGTCAGCATCAAGGTAAAGCTCTTCTATAATAATTATAACGGTCTTCCATGATTATTTTTTAATTAATACAAAAAGGATGAACAAGGTTAGAAAAAGATAATTATTTAATGCCTTAAAAAGCTTAGAATTGATATTACTATTAAGCATCCGGCTGATTAAAATCACCAGATTTACATGATTAAAAGCTAAACAAAGGTTAACTTGTTCTATGTACAACAATTACTCAAACTAATGCTGAATTAAAGTCGTTGAAAGAACAAATTGGTATCTGGAAACACCAAGTAGTTGAATGTTGTGGTTGAATAGATTCTCCGAATTTGTGTGAACAATGCCTGAACAGAAGTTATTCTTTAATTTTGTCGAACCTTTAAACGGAATCCCTTTATGAAGAGCTTTTTTGAGTGTGTTGATTTATTTCCTTTTAATTCTGTTATAACTGCTTATCTTTCTACAGATATACGCGTATTTCGTATACTGCTTGCATACTTCATTAGTGCCAAGTAGTGTTGAGTACAACACCAAAAATGGGGCCTCCCTTAGCTCGGTCGGTAAAGGCGCAGCTACAAAGCAAGACCATGCTGGAGATGGTTGGGTTCGATTCCCGGTCTTGTCTAGGAATTTTTCGAGTTGTAAAATTTCTCAACTTCTATGGATATAGAGTATGCTTATATTTGCCACACAATTATGCTAATGCAAAAATGGTACAGGCATCGAAAGCTCTCAATTAATAACTGTGGAAGTGCATAAGTAGAGAGCACGCAATAAGCTAATATGCGATAAGCAATAAGCTTGAAATGCGAAGAAGAAGTGTTTGGTACTTAGAACTGATGAAGTCTGCAAGTAGTAGACGAAATACACGTATCTGTTTAAAGATATGCAATTGTAATGGAATTAAAAGGAAATAAATCAACACACTCAAAAAAGCTCTTCACATAAATTATTAATAAAAATAGTACAAGAGTCATTAAACATGCAGTTGAATAAAATTGCCGTTTCTTCAATAGGCGATTGTTCGATGGGTTTTTACCTCCCAGTATTTGAAAATGTTATACCTTTGCAAATTAAATACGAATGTGGCCAAAACCAACTTTAAATAGCGTGTATTCGCTATTATTATTAAAACTATTATTAGATTCACGTGACGCATTTTATCTCCGACATAAAACATGAAACGTAAAGTAACATGTCTTGTAAAATTAAGTGTTCCGAAAGCGAAACATACGCAACTCGACGAAAAGACGACATTTCATATATCGTTTCTTTCAACTTATTCTTACGTCACTAGGCAGCTCTGTCGACACCAAAGTTCACATTATGAGTTTTTCGTAGTGTAAGTAGTTAGTGCAGCAGAAGGTGGTGACGATTCATGCTACCTTCAGCAATGGCGCTTGCAAACTTAATGGCAATTTTTGAGAAGCTTTGCCAGTATAAATCTTCAAATGCCTCATGAGGGTGAGAGGGACATAAAGAAACCAAATGATTATGCCCAGATATTGGAGGAACTTGGTGAGCAACAAAATTCACTTTAATAGGGATTTTTCCACAATAAATACAATTGGGGTGCGATTTTTTGGTGGTATTCTGCTCTATTTTTGATTCGTGAATGATTGCCTGGATTTGGGACAAGACTCATCAAAGTTTTTCCTCGCTTTAGGCAGTTCCTGATTGTTTGATATGTACTCTTAATGATCCAGTCATTATTAAGTTTTTCTTCCCAAAAGTTGGTACAAATGTTATAATTTATCATCTCGAATCAAACTTTTGCTTGTAACTCTTCGAAAATTTAACATTTTTTGGTGATTTTTTAGGGGAAACTATCAAATCAAAGAATACTATTTTTCACGGGTTAATGAACAAACTTTTGCCCCATCTTATTCCAAATGTTTCCTTATAAATCAAGAAATAAGTGCACCGATGACACCAGCAGATTCAGCTTGCACTTTAATCACAGTTTTGAGTTTTAAATTGCATCAAGAGCAATAATTTGCTCACAATGTTTGTGTCGAATTCCAGAACGAAGAAAGAGAACGCAGCAGCTTCTTTGAGACGCAAAATTTTCCACATTTTTAAACCGGTGCTGATACGCCATCGTCACTCAGCAAGCTTTATGTTGAGTTGAACTTTCAGTCTCACAATAACCTACAGCACCTTGACCACTGGTTGATCAAATATTGGATTTTTGTTTTTGATCCATTTGAAATGGAAGGAAGTGACTTCGTGTGAAACTTGTTGATTATGTAGAGCAATTATTCTTGAATCATCATCACATTCCATCTCCAGATTATTTTTGTAACTACAGTTAAAACTGTCCACAATTTCGATATACGCCGAGCCAATATTGAATCATAGAAATAAAGTAGATATCTATGTCCCATAGCTTTGCTTTTAATGTCAACACATTATCATTTATAATTACACCTTTTTGAAGTCTGCCGTGCTCAACAATTCCAATTCAAGTCAAGCTCTATTTTTTTTCTACAATCGAAACATACTGAATGCGTTATGAAACAGACAGATGAAACACAATTTCGACAAAACAGAAACTTATTTATTAGTCATCGTGATGGCGTGGTACAGCTATCTCATTCGACACACTGATTTCTTTTGAGACCATGTTAGTTTTCCGATCGCACTGGATGTCTTTCGAAGCCCTAAGTCGCACAAACTGTTACACCACACCACTCCTCTTGCAACGTTCGTCGCCGTTGTTGCTGTAGTTCATATTTAGGCTGACCGCGACGCATTTATTGCAGTCGGCCTAGGCGTTCTACATTCTCGCTGGAAACCACCTAAGTCGTAGCTCGTAGGCTAAGATTCGCATCACGATTCGTTGGGAGGAAAAATGTCGATCTGATAAATACCGACTCGGAAAGTGACTCGAGAGAAATAGAAGCGGCATTAGACTTGCGAGCAAGGTAATCCACAATTTGCTCGTTCAGGGTCATTTTGGTTGGATTCTGGTTTTTAGGTTACACGACATCATTCCAAGACGCGCGAGTTTGGAAATCACACATTGTCGTTTCACATGCGATTTATGAGTTCCACCACTAAATTACTTTTTTTATAATTGTTCTCCCTTGAGTCACATTAATTTTTACTAAACATTTTCTACCATAGTATCACTTGATCGTTAGCAATTAGGTACATTTGAAATACTCACTGGCGACGAGCACAAATCCTTGATTCTCTGTTCCGGCAGTGTATTCTTCTTCTCACGCACCAACAGAATGACTTCTTTCACTTCACTCGTTCTGTTGGGAAGAAATGTCCAGATGAAAAGAAAACATTTATAAGATCGATGAGTATCACTACAAACTTTTCCAACAGTCCTTTTCCCAACTAATTTGACAGATTGCTCCACACTCCCACACATTTCTCTTACCGTAGCAGCTTCTCAACCACGATTTTCCCGATAAATCCGGTACCACCGGTCACGAACACGACCTTGTCACGATAGAATGCACTAATGTTCGACATCTTGTCACTGTATTCAAATCCGTTATCGACTCTAAGAATCACCTGCTTGCTTGCTATGACACAACGTTACCGCGTATGGTATGTTCAAAGCCCTACGAGCTACCCAAGATCCGTCTCGGTTGAGGTGCAACACGATTCTGAACCACTCGAGCTGAAGCTGTTGATCCACTGAGCTTACTAACCCCCTGGTCCTTGGTGGTAGCTAGCAGATAGTAAGTCACTCATGAAAGCCCAGAGAAACAAAAAATAATCAAAACACCAATAGACTAGCGAGAAACCAGGAGGCAAAGATCGGAAGATACTGACACGCACACGTACGGTTCGTTCCTAGAGTGCGCGCACTGCCAAACGACGCGACGGTTGACCAACGAGTAAAAGTGTGCCCCAAGCACGATGCCACATTTATTCGCAAACCTCTGAATCTCTACGAACCTCGCTGAACGTGCAGAACAAAGCGCGCGCGATGTTGATATAGGCTCTAAAATTTGTGCTTCCAGATGCCCAGGTGGTGATCGTCTAGCGATCGTTTCGTCGCCTCGTCGGTTGGCGTGGTGGTAAGGAAGGCGATATAGCGCTGTAGCCGCAGCAAGGTGCTATATTTAAATGCGCTGCAATATTGCCAGATAAAACAGTGATATAAACATATGATTATAAACATATCTGGGGTTTTTATTTAGCGTATGCTATTCTTCGATACTGTTAGTATCAACGCTGTGCGATAGTTCATTGCTATGTGGGGGATGTGAAGTATGCTATCATTAAATAAATGTATTTCGTGCGTTGCGCAAATAGGGTTTATTTGAGATGATAGATTCTTTTCGTCGATTTCATTTTGAGTTACCATGGATAAGCGATCTAATGTTCAAAATAGTGCTGTAAAAGGTTGTTTGGCTAGCAAAAATGCAGTTCCACACCATATGACGATTCGATCTGACGCGATCTTGTCCGATTGCTGAAGATGCTAATTTCAAATAACAGACTAAAGTGGTAATTTTTATACGATAGATGAGGAGATGAAAGTATAGAGTTGATAGTTCCGTTACAGTACGGCACCATCCCTCTCCAACGGGGGAGTTTGGTAAAGAAAATGATCAAACCGATTTGTACCTTCCCAAAAAAGTTGTCCTTGATCGCTTTCTACTCTCTAAATACAATTTTCACACTGCCGTACTCTAACAGAACTATCAACTCTATACTTTCATCTCCTCATCTATCGTATTAAAATTACCACTTAAGTCTGTTATTTGAAATTAGCATCTTCAACTATGTAAACCGTTAACTTCACGCAGAAGTATTTCAAACAAATAGTTAAAGTAGGAAAATACTGTCAAATAATAAGAGTATTTTAAGAATCGGGTAACGTAAAGGAACCGGAAACCCTTTTCAAATGCCAGTTTTGAATCCAAGATGGTGGCTTTCAGTTACAGAAACACTTTAAAATACTGTCAAATACTGGATACCACTATCTTGGATTTCAAAATGGCATCAGACATGTTTTTCCGGTCCCTAAACGTCAAACCGATTTTAAAAATACCCATATTGCGGGGTAGTTGACAGCATTTCTACGCTTTTCTGTAACCGGAAGTGACCTTCTAGGATTTAAAAGTGGCGTCAAACATCGATTTCTGGTCCCTACACACCTCTCCGATTCCCAATATATGCGTATTGTGGGGGTATTTGACAGAGTTTTTCAAAACCCGGAAGCCACCATATTGAATTTCAAAATGGCTTCAGACATTGATTTCTGGTCCCTACACGTCACGCTGATTCCAAAAATACCCAAATTGTGAGATATTTGACAGAATTTCTAAGCTTTTCTGCAACCGGAAGCCACCCTCTTGGATTTCAAAATGGCGTCAGACATCGATTTACGGTCACTACTCTGATTAAATTACTTTTTTTTTGTCACTCTGATTAAAAAAAAATACCCATATTGTGGGGTATTTCACAGCATTTCCCAGTTTTCCAAAATCACAAAAAACTCATTTCTTTTGGAATTTGCTTCGTAAAAAAACCTCGTAAAAAGAGGGACGTAAATTGAATACTGCGTAAAAAAACTTCGTAACCGGAGGTAGTGTATTCAAAACTATGGATAGTTTATGACAACATTCACTCACAAGATGGCTTAAAACGAAAATGATCGAGTTGCGCCATCTAAATACTTATTATATAAAGGCATCTACAGATCCTGCTTATATACATGGTTTGCGTCTTGAGGAAAGTTGTAATTTTACCTAGTGTCTCACTTTCCAACAGGTGCTTCCAAAAATTTAGTATTTTGTAATCGTAAAATTGAACATATTTGTAGTTCTGTGGTGAACGTTTCAGCTCAATTGATCATAAGTTAACAAAGTTACATCATGTCGAAGTTGACCATTTTGTATGGAAATCGGCATGCGCTGCTATTATATTGAACACAACTGTAACTTCATGACTAGATAGCAGGCTTTCTTCACAGTAATAAGACTTATCCTAAGGTAAAGAGTTTGGTTTAAAATTCACTCACCAGGTGGCGCTAGTGTAACATTAATATTGAATTGTGTGGCCAAACCTGACATACTAGATAGAAGGTGTTGGGTAGAGGTTTTCAAATGGACAAGATCTATCCTAAGAAAAAATAATTTAGTTCAGAATTCTTACATCAGGCGGCGCTAGTGTGGCATTTATTTTAAATTCTTTGACCAAACTTATCATCTTTACTAGATAGAAGGTTCCTGACTCCGGCAAAGTTTTTCGGATGGGTAAGAAACATTTTATGGTAAAAAATTGTTCTGAATTCACTCACAAGGCTGCGCTAGTGTGACATTCATATTGAATTGTTTTCCCTAACCTAACATATGTACTAGATAGAAGGTTACCGTGTTGGGTAAAGTTGTTTAGATGGACAAGACCCATCCTAAGGTAATGTTTTAAGTTCAGAGTTCACACATTAAGTGGCGCTAGTGTGACATTCATTTTGAATTTATTGTCCTTACATAACATCTTGACTAGATAGACGGTTCCTGTCTGTGGCAAAGTTTTATGGTACATCTTAATAACCAACCAGGTAGCGCTAGTGTGACATTCATTTGAAAATGTTTGTCCTTACTTAATATATAAAAGATTTCCGCCTTAGGCAAATTTGTTTACATGTTATTTCTTCTTTGGTTTTTTTTTATTTCGTCGTTGCTTGGACCTTACGCCGGTTCTCAACTATTCTAGATGTACTTCAACAGTTGTTAATTGAGAACTTTCTAAGCCATATATGTATTAGTATACTGTTTGACAAGTATAATCATACTCTATGCCTAAGACCAGACCGGGAATTGAACCAAGCCGCTTCCAACATGATTTTGCTTTATAGCTGAGTCTTAACCGACTGAGCTCAGAGAGGATCCCACGAACAAGACCTATTTTTTTGGTAGCTCAGCTCAGAATTCACTCACCAGACGTCGCTAGTGTGAAATTCATTATTTATTGTTTTCTCTAACCATTGCTTGTATCATAACATGTTTGCTAAAGTACATTTGAAAATTTTATATTTTTTATCGGCATGGCATAAATGTAACGACATTTCTAAACTGTTTTTTTTTTCGACTAAGCTACATTTTCGCATATAATAGGAAACGAGACCCAGCTGTGTAAGCGACACAGTTTTGTATCGTTTGGGATTTTGCTGTTTCTTGACTAATTACCACATATATTTGAAGTTTGCTATATGGAGTCTCTAGCTCTAGCGAGCCCTGGGCAGTAAATTCCAAACTATGAACATATAATTGTTTTTAATGAACTTACAAACTTGGCCAACAGCAGAAACCTTCTATCAAGACAAGCTGTAAAGTAAAACCAAAAAAACTCGAAAAAACGGGAAGCAACAGTGTGAACTGATGAGTAAATTCTGCTCTAAACTGTCGAATATCGAAAAGGTCTAGCATGTATGAACAACTTTACCGAACACGGGAGCCTTCTATCTAGTCAAGATGTTAAGTAAGGACAAACAATTCAATATGAATGTCACACGAGGGCCAAATGGTGAGTAAATTCTGTTTGGAGCTTATTACCCAAAAAATAGATCTTGACCATCTGAACAACTTTGCTGAATACGGAAAATCTAGTCCATCTGAGGGCAAACAATTCAAAATTAAATGCTTGGTGAGTGAATTCTGAGCTGAACTCTTTACCTTAGAATAGGTCTTGGCCATCTGAACAACTTTACCTTGTATCAAGTCCATGTGTTCAGTTAGGATAAATATATAAAAATGAAAATCACACTAGTGCCACCTAGAGAGTGAATTTTGAGCTAAACTCTTTATCTTAGGATATATCTTGTACATCTGAACAAATTTTACGAAGACGGAAACCTTCTATCTAATCCATATATTAAGTTAGGGCAAACAATGAAAAAGGAATGTCACGCGAGCGTTGCCTGGTGAGTTCTTTCTGAGCTGAAGTCTTAACAATAAAATTGTTGTTGAGGAAAGGCAAAAATTTCAAAATGAATGTCACACTAGCGACACCTGATGTGTTAATTATGAACTAAACTCATTACCTTAGGATAGGTATTGTTCATCTAAACGACTTTCCCGAAGACGGTAACCTTCTATTATAGTTCATATGTTAGGTTAAGGCAATCAATTCAATATGAATGTCACACTAGCGCTGCCTTGTGAGTGAATTCTAAAATAAACTTTTAACCATAAAATATGTCTTATCCATTTGAACCACTTTGCCAAAGACGGAAACCTTATACCTAGTCAAGATGCTAGGTTAAGGCAATCAATTGAAAATGAATGTCATACTAGCGTTACCTGGTGAGTGAGCTCTGAACTCAACTCTTTACCTCAGGATAGGTATTGTCCATCTAAACAACTCTACCCTAGACGGGAACCTTTTATCTAGTACATATGTTAGTTTAGGGCATAGGTGTGAGTGAATTCTAAACTATGCTCTGTACCATATAATTGTCCATTTGAATAACTTTGCCGAAAACGGGAACCTTCTATCAAGTCAAGTTGTTAAGTTATGGCACACAATTCAAAAAGAAAGCGACACTTGCGTTACCTGTTGAGTGAATTCTGAACTAAACTCTTTACCTCACGATAGGTCATCCCATCTATGAGCAGGATCTGTAGATAGCGTTATATAATGTGTATTTAAGAAGGCGTGTGTATTTTCGTCTTAGCGCTATCTAGTTTCTACCATAGTTTTGAAGGCCTTCTATTCTTAAATATCTTTGCAGAAGTAATCTACATCCCAAATGGTTGGGATCTGAAGATATATACATCTATAACAAAAAAAAATGCCACTTCATGAGTTTATTTTTACAATGACACCTCTTCCCGAGCGATCCGCCCCTCCAAAAACAATCTGAAAATTTAAATAGATAGTCCACTAAATTTACTTTACAAATCATTTAAAATTTTAGAAATTCATTGAAATTTCGTTAAAATACGGCAATTCGAATTTGGAGTTAAATTGACCCCAACAGACAACGTAAGTA